TGATTTGTGAAGGCTTTTTACAAAACAATGATCTGGACTTTTCATTTGGTTAATTCTGGATGGAGGACTTCTAGAAATCAACCTAAGCAGTAGATGGTTCCAGGAGTCCTGATGTGCTGCGGGTTAATGTGCTGGACTGCAAAATCGTCTGAACTGTTAGGTCGCTAGTTCAAGCTTACCAGTCACCCCTCGGAAACCCTATACAGGCTCACTATGGGTCAGAACCAACTCGATGGCACTTAACAGCAACAAGTAGCCAGTTCCATCTCATGCTACCTTCTCTGCATGACTAAAAATGGGACCTTTTGTGTGTGTAGAATCTATCTGAGTCTCCTGTTTAGTGCTTTACCAGAGGTTCATTATGTTCTTCCCACCAGTCTGTACACAAGAAAATTCAGCCCCACTTTTGAACTGAGCAGTAACTGATAGCTACTGTGACGGTCAATTCACATTGTGAAAAGGTGAAAGTCAGTCCTTCCTCAACTAGTATTAGAAAGGAATTCTGAATGTCATTCCTGTTCCCATCTATTCAAATCCCTCAAAACCCATCTCTACTGATCCTTAAAGCGAAAAGTTTTTTTTATTTTTGTTTTGATGATCACCAACTCTGTGCAAGTCTGGAAGGCAGCATATTGAAGAAGGTACTACCTCTGTTCTCAGCTGGTTTACAGCACTTCCTTTATAAACTGTGACATCATTTATATCTGCTCAATAGTTTAGCATCTGAGTACATTCTTGCTCTTGTTTCTAAAGCTTTTCACCAACTCTGTTTCTAATCTCCCTAATGAAATTGTAAACTTGCCTTGCAAAAGAATTCCATTTCACATCCTTCACAGCTTCCAGCCAAGCATCAGTGCTTAGTAAAAACTTGAATTCAGTAAACATTTACTGAGCTGAAAATCTGAATTGCTTGTCCAGAGACCAAGTGTTGTGGATAAGGCTTCTGTCCCAAATTTTGCTAACTAGTTGAACACTCTTCCAGTCTTTTTTCAACACCTTTTAACCTCTCCTCCAAGGTCTAAAGCAGAACTATTAAGAAGGCTGTTTCTACTCCCCTGGCCTCCACTGAACAAATTGAAATCTTTATCATACTAGCCCCAGGAGAGAGAAAAGAAAACTAAGTGGAGGAAAAGGCCTCTTAAAACCAGACTTTCTCAACTTCTTACACAATTGACAATTTCTAGGTGGTAAGCAACACATAGTAGGCACACACACTGCATTTTCAATTCCCCAGCATCTTCAATGAAGGTGAGTAATATCCACATTTGCAAGGCCCGATGCTGGGTACTACAGGGGGTACAAAGGTGAACCAAACAGGTTCCTTGCCCTCAATACAATGGGCAAATGAGATCAATCTCCACTACTGCTCCAAGTGATGCAATTTTGGCATATGGAGAAAGCACTGTGGGAGAACAGATGGAAGAAAGAGATTAATTCCAACTGGTGAAAATTCAGAGGATGTAGTTTTGGAGAGGTGAGACCTTGGAGGATGGATACAGCAAACAATATAGATAATTTACTACCCACCAAATGCTGCAACCAAGTAGTTTACTTGCATTATTTCATTTGAGACTCACAACTGATAGGCAGTCTTCAGAGGTGCTATTGTTGGTCTTATTTTACAGAGAAGAAACTGAGACACAGAAAAAGTGAGTGATTTGTCTAAGGTCCAGGCTACTAAGTGGTTAGAGGGGAATTTATAATCACACAGGATAACTCCAGATCTCATGCCCTTATACACTAACAAAAATAACCAAGCCTGTTCCTATCCAATCAATTCCAACTCATGGAGACCCCATGTGTTACAGAGTAGAACTGCTCCTTCAGGTTTTCTTGAATGTAATTACAGGCATCCCTGGGTAGGTTTGAACCACCAAACTTTAGGTTAGTTGTTGTTAAGCACCATTGAGTTGGTACCAAGTCATAGCAACCCTATGCAAAACAGAATGAAACACTGTCTGGTCCTGCACCAACCTCACAATCATTACTACATTTGAGCCCAGCACTGCTGCCACTATGCCAATCCATCTCATCGCGGGTCTTTCTCTTTTTCTCTAACCCTCCATTTTACCAAACATGATCTCCTTCTCCAGGAACTGGTTGTTGTTGTTGTTGTTGTTGTTGTTGTCAGGTGCCATTGAGTCGGAACCGACTCATAGCGACCCCATGCACAGCAGAACAAAATAATGTCCGATCCTGGGCCATCCTCACTACCACTGCCACACTTGACGCCATCAATGATGCCGCCTAACTGATCCATCTCGTTGGGGGTCTTCCTCTTTTTCTCTGACCCTCCATCTTATCCAGCATGACATCCTTCTCCAGCGACTGTTCCCTCCTGACAATATGTCCAAAGTATGAGAGACGAAGCTTAGCCATCCTGGCCTTCAAGGAGCACTCTGGCTGCACTTCTTCCAAAACAGATCTACTGGTTCTTTTGGCAGTCCATGGCACTTTCAGGATTCTCCTCCAACACCACAACTCAAAGGCATCAATTCTTCTACGATCTTCCTTATTCACTGTCGAGCTTTCGCATCCATATGAGGCTATTGAAAACACCATGGCCTGGGTCAGGCGTACCTTAGTCCTCAAGCTGACATCTCTGCTCTTCAATACTTTAAAAAGTTCCTGTGCAGCAGATTTGCCCAATGCAATACGTCGTCTGATCTCTTGACTGCTGCTTCCGCGAGTGTTGATAGTTGATCCAAGAAGAATGAAGTCCTTGACAACTTCAGTCTTTCCTCCATTGATAAGAATGTTGTTTATTGGTCCAGTGGTGAGTTTTGTTTTCTTGACATTGAGATGTAATCCATATCGAAGGCTGTGCTCTTTGATCTTCATAAGTAAATGTTTCAAGTCCTCTTCACTTTCAGCAAGCAAGGTTGTATCATCTGCATATCGCAGGTTGTTAATGAGTCTTCCTCCAATCCTGATGGCACGTTTTTCTTCATAGAACTCAGCTTCTCGTATTATTTGCTCAGCATACAGGTTGAATAAGTATGGTGAAAGAACACAACCTTGTCGCACACCTTTCCCAATTTTAAAACATTCAGTGTTCCCATGCTCTGTTCAAACAACTGCTTCTTGGTCCAGGTACAGATTCCTCAGAAGTACAATTAAGTGTTCTGGAATACTCATACTTCGCAATGTTATCCATAGCTTGTCATGATCCACAATAGAAAGCCTTTGCGTAGTCAATAAAGCATAGTTAAACATCTTTCTGATATTCTCTGCTTTCAGCCAAGATCCACTGGACATCAGCAATGATATCTCTCGCTCCCCGGCTTCTTCTGAATCCAGCTATTCCTGATAATATGTTCCAAGTTTGAGAAAGTCTGGCCATCCTGGCTTCCAAGGACCTTTCTGTCTGTAAGCCTTTCAACACAGATTGGTTTGTTCTTTAGGCAGTCCAAGGTACCTTTAATACTCTCCTCTTCAAATGCATCAGTTCTGGACGCATCTTCCTTATTCACTGTCCAGCTTTCGCATGCATACGAGGTTACTGAAAATACCATTACTTGGGTCAGGAGCACGTTAGTCCTCAAACTGACATCTTTGCTTTTCAGCACTTTAAAGAAGTCTTGTGCAGCAGATTTGCCTAATGCAATATGTTGTTTGATTTCTTGACTGTTGCTTTCATAAATGTTAATGGTTGATTCCAGCAAAATGAAGTCTTTGACAACTTCAATATTTTCTCCATTTATATAGATGTTATTTATTGGTCCAGTGGTGAGGATTTTTGTTTTCCTTACTTTGAGGTGCAACCCATATCAAAGGCTGTGGCCTTTGATCTTCATCAATAAGTATTTTATGTCCTCTTCTTTCACCAAGCAAGGTTGTATCATCTGCGTATCGCAGGTTGTTAATGAGTCTTCCTCCAATCGTGATGCCACGTTTTTCTTCATATAATTCAGCTTCTTGGTTTATTTGCTCAGCATACAGGTTGTGTAAGTATGGTGAAAAAATACAAGCCTGGTACATACTTTTCCTAATTTTAAACCATTCAGTGTTCCCTTGTTCTATTCAAACAATTGTCTTTTGGTCTATGTACAGGTTCCTCATGAGCACAATTAAGTGTTTCAGAATACCCCACTACCCAGGGCTCTGCTAGTCTCGTGATCATTTACCGAGCACAGGAAGTGTGAGAGCAGGTGTAGCAACATGCAGGGCATGTCTTGGGAACAGCAAGGCTACTGTAAGGCCAGTGGAATGCCTGGGATGAAGGGTAGTGCGGTTTGGTCACAATTACAGTGCCAGACTCTGGCCTTCCTTCACAGGCTGCTTCTGAACTCACTACGTCCCTATCCCCTATCGTACTGGTACTAATAGCCCCATTTACAGATATGAAAACAGGAACAGAAAGGTTAAGAACTGGCAGGTGAGTGGGATTGGGATCTGTATCTAGGGGTCAAACTCATAAACTCACTCTTACTCACGTGGGTGGAAGTCCCCTGTTACTTTACCCCAGTCTACACATCTTACCCCTTCCCACCTACTCCCCCCAAAGCCACTAGGCTGCAAGGAGCCACTTTAGGCTCCAAATAACTTCATCTCCCAGAAAGCTTTGCGTTCCCGTTCCTCCGACTCTCCCCACCCCACCCCCGCAATCGTAAGGAGCCTTTGAGTTCCCGGGAGTCCCGCCCTGCCCCGCCCCGCGCGGGTCCAGGGAGGCCGTGGGCGTGTGCCTGGCTGCAGCACTCGAGGCCTGGGGCGGGGCCTGTCTGCGGCACGGTGCTGCGAGCAGGCGGGCTCCGAGCGCAGGTGGCTCCTCCTCCGCTCTCCCAGGTCCCGGCCGCGCCAGGCTCTGTGCCCGCTGCAGAGGAAGCGCCTTTGTGCCTGGCTGGAGGAGTCCACGACGGCCACTGCGCGCCTAGGTCCATTGTGCCGTTTCTCTTCCGTGCAGGTGCTGGGGGCGCGGGACCGGCACGTTCTAAAGCCACAGCCAGAGCGCCGTGACCCGCCGGCGCCGAGCAGGGGGGTCCGCCGGCGCGCGGCGGGAAATGAAGTATCTGAAGCCGTGGTGGTCGGACGGCGGGGGCCTTCTGCACCTCACGATCCTACTGAGCTTGGCGGGGCTCCGCGTAGACCTAGACCTCTACCTGCTGCTCCCGCCGCCCACTCTGCTCCGGGATGAGTTCCTGCTCCTGGGCTGCCCCACGAGCTCCGCCTACGCGCTCAGCCCCTTCCCAGCCTCGGGAGGGTGGGGGCGCGCGGGTCAGCTGCACCCCAAAGGCCGAGAGTCGGACCTTGCAGCGCTGTCCGAAGGCCAGCTGTTTCGGGAGCTGTGCGCGCTCGGGGTCCCCTTCATCCCCCGCACCCGGGTGGATGCGTGGCTGGTGCACAGCGTGGCGGCCGGAGATGCCGACGGGGCGCGCGGGCTACTCGGCTCTGCGGCCGCCGCCTCATCATCAGCGGTAGAAGTCGGCGCTAGCGTGGACGGCGGCAGCCAGGAGGCAACAGGGGGCGGCGGAGACCCCCATGAGGCTCGGAGCGGCCCTTTGGCCACTGGAGAAGAGCAGAAGGCACCAGCAGAACCGACATCTGACATGCTGGACGCCGGGGGACGCGCCAGCGAGGTAACCCGAGCCGTCACTTGAGCTAGATGCGGCGTCCTCCGCCCTAGTGCTGGAGAAACTGACCAGGAACCCTAGAAGGTTTGGAGAGACCTAAGGAATTAAAGGAGACCCGTGGTCTCCTTCCATTCTTAGCCCCTGGGAGGTTGTAGGTGATGGATCGTGGACGACTCTGCCCCTCTGCTGTTTGTGAATTACGAACTGAGGCTGTTTTAGGTTTTTGAGAAAGAGAAGGATGTCATTCATTTGATTGTAGAGGGCACCTTTCCTTATGTTTGAGGGCTATAGAGGGGAGTTTGAGGATGGGGAGAAGTAGGGCAATGGGATTTCCTTGCCTGCCTCCATCATTCAGTACCTGTGCACACACTTGAGATATCTCTTTCAGTGGACCCGTGCCCGACTTGAGAGATGCACATTGCTTTTCAAATTCACATACCCAGCCTGATGCAATGGCGCACACCATGATTTAACACAATTGCACTTTGTTTTTTCTCCTTCCTTGGATTTAGGAGTCGTGGTCAGTGTCCAGTCTGAGTCCAGCTGGCAGATGGTCCTGCTGTGATGTGTCATACCCCGAAGCCTCCCTCCTGGCACTTGTGTAACTCTTATTAGCATAAAGAAAACAGCTACCTTTACAGTCACCTTGTGACTAGCAAGTTTCAATTGGTTCATGGATTCAAACCCTTCTACGACTAATTTCCTTAGGAACCAAACTTTGCCAAAATCTATTGACTGAAGTATCTGGTACTCCCAGTGACACAAGTGAGTCTGAGGGCACTTGCATGTAGGTCCACAAAACCACGTTGTTCAAAGTTCCTTCTAAAGGGCCTTTTGAATTGTTTCTTGGCCCAAACCAGAGTGCTAACCATTGGTATTGATCAACAAGTGTTCCATGGATGTTGTTTTTGTGGCATACAATCTTATGCAAAATGGGAATTGGGGCTAAACTGGTTTGTTTGCTCCTCTTGTGAATTCCCTGTTTGTGTAGGCAGTTGCCAGACTAGCTTTTCCACCCTCTCTGGAGGGGTCATTGTGTCGGAGTGCTCTATGATTCACTACTAGGCTGATCTGATCCCTTCCTCTTCCCAGGGATGGGAAGGGGAGAGGGTAGTAGAAGTTTAGGTGGGCTTTTGGATGTTTGGAACAAATTGAAGAAGGATTTTTCCCAACCACTCGTCCGGTCTCGATCCCATGGGGTCTGTGTCTTCTGAGTCCCTCTCTGCTAAGGAGTGACATGTGTACTTCTATTTGTCCTGGTTCTGTAACATATGGGGTTGAAACTCAATGCTGGGTGCTGTACCAGATGGCACCTAACCCCCTTCACAGCTGAATGCCAACCATCTTGCAAGTGCACAGGGACGTAGAGGGAGGGGAGGCTGTTTGCTCTGTGAGGTCTGCCTTTACCATAACCTATTTATACAGGCAGGCGTGCCTTGGAGGGAGCTCTGGCGCTTGGGGCCCAGCCAGACCTCCTTGGAGGCCTAGAGTGCAATTTCATAGAGGAGTGGGTGACAGTCACACAGGGCCAGTCTCCGTGGCTGGCATAGTGGACCTGCTGGACCACATTAGCTGCTACCTGACTGTTGTAATGGCCTGGTTGTGTTCATTCTGACAATGGTGAGCTGTCGAGGATTTTTCCGTTTTCACAGCTATGTCACGTTTGCCTTAATTAACACCTCTTACAGCTTGTAGCATAGTGGTTACGAATCGGGCTGCGAACCTTAAGGTCAGTGGTTCGAAACTACCAGCCGCTCCGCGGGAGAAAGATGAGGCTTTCTACTCCCGTAAGGATTTACACCCTCGGAAACCCTGTACAGGGTCGCTATGGGTTGGCTCCGACTCGAAGGCACTTAACAACAACAACAACAACAGCTTGTGTGGAGTCCTGGTGTGGTGCTGTAGGATAAGCACTTGACCGCAAGGTCGGTGGTTCAAACTCACCAGCTGCTTTTCGGAAACGCTATACAGGGTCACTATGAGTCAGAATTCACTCAACGGCACTTAACAACATCAACCTTGTGAGGTATGCAGCCTAGCATCGTTTTATCCAATTTGTGCTTAAGGAAAACAAGCACAGTGAGGTTGGGGAACCTAGTCAGAGTGGCATAATTAATTAGAGTCAAAGGTGGACCTGGAACCCACGCCTCCTGCCCCCCCAGCCTAGCATATTAACTTAGTACCTACACTGTACTCAGGTTCCTCTGGACAAGCAGGTGGAATGGGCTACAAATGTAATGCCCTCTCTCAGCAATCTCCTGGTCCAATGGCATCTGCTCTCCAGTGCTGGGTTCATATTGTGTGTTGTGTGTTTCTGCTTTTGTTTTTTTCCATTGTGGTAAGATATATACAAGGGAGCTTCAGAAAATTTGTGGAAAAGTTCTCTTCTATTTTCATTTCATTTTTCTACAGAACTTTTTGAAGCTCCCTCATAAAAGGTAATCACCTCATAAAGTTGATGTAAGAATTAAGCAGTTCATTCAATGTAAAGAGTTTAGAACTGTGTGACTCGCCTCGTCTTTGAATCCAAACCCACTGCCATCAAATCGATTCTACCTCATAACAAACCTGTAGAGTTGCGGAGGTTCGGAACAGCCGGTGAGTTTGAACTGCCGACCTTACTGTTAGCAGCAGTCCAGTGGTTATCCTACAATGCCATCACTTCTTAGGACATACTTAATAATTTAACCAGAAAAGAACACACATGAAAAAAGTCTACTGGAAAATTGTGCATAGACCAAACCCCACTAACCTCAACTGAAGTGTTCTTTATGATCATAATTCAGTACCTCCTCATTGTAAGCTTCTTTTTTAAATCTATTTTGCACTTTTTCATTATGGCAGTGTGATTCTTTCCTGTATGCGATTTTGGTGTGGGCTTTTTTTCATGTGCGTTTTCCCCATAGAACCACTTAATAAATGTTAGCCACTGTTATATTACTGTTAGCTTCTTAGGAAGGAGCGTTGGTGGTGCTATTGGATAAGCACTGGTTTGCTAGCCACAAGTTTTGCAGTTGAAACCCACCAGCTGCTCCTCAGAAGAAAGATGAAGCTTTCAGCTCATCTTTACAGAATGAGTCAGAATTAACTCAATGGCAGTGAGTTTGGTATGGTTTGGGTTACATCTAAGAGAATATGCATTGCCCACCCCATAGGAACATCATAGAGTTGTGGTTTTGTGTTTTTTTAGATAATTCTTCCAGTGGCTTATATTCAAGTTGTAAGAGAGGCTGGCTGTACATATGCAAAAATATTTTGGAATGGGGGATTTTCCAAGTATCAAAAGAAGGACTGCTTTGGTTTCACTTTTCAATTGGGCTAATCATTATCTGGAAACAACCTGGAATTTCCCAAGACAGACTTGCTTCTCTTCATAACCACAACTATTCAATTACTACCAAAGAAGGCCATGCATGGGTTAAACAAAGAAATGAGCAGTTTGTAGTTGAATGTATGGTGGAGTGGCTCCAGACAGCCAGCATCAGTATTTCAGAGAGCTGTTACCACATTGAAACTCTTAGGGCTTATGGTCATCTTTATGTGGTTTCATGCCCGGGGATGGGGACCCTCTGCAGGCTCGGATTCAGCAGGACCTCTTGGCTTACTGCCAGCTGGAGTGGGTTTTGTCAGACCACAGGAAGAATATGGGCACAGCTAATACTTAATTCTAGAACTAAAGAGAAAACAAAGTGAGTCCTTGCTGGTCACAAAGTAAAATTTGTTTTGTTGTTTCAAAATCAAAGATGTCTGGACATTTGGGAATAAATGAAATTTCAGATGCCTGCCTGTTTTTAGCTCTCAGATATGAGACAGAAATAAGTTTCATTATTATAAATGTTGTTGTTAAGTCGAGTCGGTTCCGACTCATAGCAGCCCTGTATAGAGTTTCTGAGGATCAGCTAGTGGGTTTGAACCACCGACCTTGCAGCTAGCAGTCTGGTGCTTGCCATACAGCACCACACCAGAACTCAAATTTCACAGGTTTTTCAGTTTGCTTTTACTAAAGGGTGTTGTGAAGGTGTGCTAACTAAAGGACGTGGTGAAGATCTTATGAGATGGGGAAACTAACATACATGGTCACTCAACATCTGCCTTCTCGCAGCTCTTAAGTTGCTTTTAGCAAGTAGGCTCCAATGTTCAGAAGCAAACTCAACCCAAATTTTGGAAGCAGCTGGTGTGTGTGTTGGATCATTCATAGCAGGACATGGTATGTGCTCATGAGGAAATGTGGGTTTTGCCAGCTTGTTTTACCACCCTTAGGAATTTTTCGTTCAAAGCATCCGTTTCTCTTCAGATATTCCCCTTGGTTGCTAGGTCACAGGAATAGCATCTCTGCAATGACTCTTTTCATCATTCTCCTTTCCACTTCCCTTACTACTTAGTTCAGTCAGTGGGAAGTCAGACTTGAGTTGAGGATGCAGGCTCCAGGCCCCGTCTCAGCAGCAGGGTGGCCTAGTGGTGAAGTGTGTAGACATTGGAGTCAGACCCCTTGGGTTAGATCTCCTTTCCACTGAGGACTGTGTGTGACCTGGAGCACACTTCTTAACCACTCTGTGACTTGGATCCCTAACCTGTGAAATGGGATGGTGATATTACCTTAGGGAGTGTGTGGAGTAAATAAGTCAAGTTCAGCAGTGTTGATACATGATAAGCTTTTAATAATAGTGCTGTAGGATAAACACTGCACTGCTAAATGGCATGTCAGTAGTTCAAACCCACCAGCTACTCCTTGGAAACCCTATAGAGGGTCACTATGAATCAGAACCAACTCAACAGCACCTAATAACACCAACAGTGTTAGCTGTTACTGTTAATTCATCAGGGTCGAGTAATGCCCCCTCCCCAGAGTTCTAGTGTGGTACTGTTGGACAGGTACTGGACTGCTACCCACAAGGTTGGCAATTGAACCCTACCAGCCGCTCCTCAGAAACCTTATACAGGGTCACTGTGCTTTCATCTGCAGAGATTGCACTAGCTCCCCATTACCTCTAGGTAGATATTTTGTC